GAATTTAGAATTAATAGACGTATGCGTTGTTTTTTTATGATTCCGTATATGTTTTACTTCGATATAGTTTATTGCCCATATTGTAACATTGTATAAAATTTATTCAGTAACAATATATATATATATATATATATATATATATATATATATAAAGACATATTGCTCATTTATTACTTTTGTTGTGTTCATTTATTAAGTTGTCAATTTTAAAACATAAATTCATTTTTTTCATGATTTAATTGTACTTTTCCTAAACAATCTTATGGTCGAATGACATAATGCGCTATTTTAAAAGCAAATATGACTAAAAATTGAATTGAATTTATTTACTATTAACAATCATCAAATAATAATAATACAATGATTTTAATAAAAACTAGTGGAATGTATGGCATCGTGCCTTGAGGCAAATTGCTGGAACTTCCCGTACCGTAACGAAATGTTCTAGGAATACTGAATGTTTTCAAATAGATTATTATAAATATTGTAACATTGTCTAATATTTATAAGAATTAAATAAACTGAATTTCAAAGTTGAAATTATTTGTTTAAAGTATATTAGAACTATAGTCAGAATTAAAAATAAAATCTGAATTATTTTCGATACACAAAAAATTTTTTTTTGAAAATAAAAATTGAAAAAAAAGTTGATACAAAAAATTTTTTTTTCAAAATCAATTATTTTGGTAAGACAAGCAGAAAGTTCTTTGAATCATTTAAATCGGACCCTTAGTTCTCTCAAAAACTGCCATTTTTTGCACATTTAGCTCCGTATCTTCAAAATGGCTGGGCCTGCTTTTGCCAAAACTAATCAACACTTCTCCTAATCATTACTAATTGAATGTTTTTTAGATCATTCAAATCGGATGCTCCGTTCGCTCAAAAACTCGATTTCTATTTTCTGCACTCTTTGCTCTTTATCTCCGTAATTGCTGGACCTGCCTTTGCCAAAAACTAATCAGCACATCTCTCTATCAATAGGAATCGAATGTTTTTTGAACCATTTAAATCGGTTGATCCGTGACCAAAAAATTGTATCCATATATACATAAACATACACACACACATCCATTTTTTCTGAGGTATGCCAAAATGTTAAGAAACCTTCAAAACATCGAGAAATGTAAAAATTTTCAATTTCGATTTTCGGCCCATTACAACAACTTACCCTACGGGAAGTTAAAAAAGAAAATGTATTATATGACAAAAATAATTATTATTTAGGGAAAGGGAAAATATCTAAAATAACATAAATGTATGTTATCTCATATTTTCGAATGATATCATTGTTCTCAAATCCTATACCATATTCACTCATAGATTGTTTTTCGGACGCAACCACTTATAAATCTACTTCTAATTAGAATCATGTATTGATCTATCTTCAAATAAAACACTGACCCACGTGCGTCGTAAAACTAATAAAGTTCATTCTGATTGCGGTATCTCATCCTTTGATAAAAAGTGATGTGTAGGAAGTAGTGAGTTGGTCAGCATTGAATTATTTAATTTGAAGCAAGTCCATCGCCAGCCTTGGGCTCCGGAACAAGAAGCGCAACTCTGAGAAGAGCAAGTGCAACAAATATCGCCCGGAGCGCGTTGACCGGAGACGAGAACATTTCACACGGCCACGGTTATGACGGATAAATGAATTTATATGTATTATATTTAATTGAATCTATTCGAACCACCTGTGATTTACACTAGTTACTGAAAAATTCGATATTAACATATAGCTTTTGCGTTTAAGATTTCCACTAGTGAAAAGTAACAAAATAGAGTAATATGTAAAAGCAAATAAAATATCATGGAGAAAACATAACTCCAGTTTTTGCAAATTGTTGTATATTAGAGTGAATTTCACTGATATTTAAAAGAAACAAAGTCAATAGCGAAAAGATTTTTTTTTAAATGTAGACCTTCGTGTAAATTCTGGTCAATTCAACGAATCCGATCAATTCAATAACGTGCAAGTGTAAAGATATATCAAATTGCAGGACTCTGGATCACACGCCGCGCTGATCACGCTTCACAGGACAAGGTTGGAAAAATCATAATTCAACAGTTATTATTTTAAGAAATTATTAACGACGTCGCATGTTGTTTGAGAATCCACTTGGTTTTCATACCTTTTATATACGTCATTTTCATAAGTTGACGTAAGCAAACAGTTTCATATAATCTCAGAATGTGTGGACAAAGCCCTTAACACCTCACTAACCCCTCCATTAATGGTTTGACTAACTAAATAGATGGTATGCGCGAGGAAAGTTTATTTACATTCTCACAATCTAACAGTTGGTTAGTTATTAAATTATTTTTGAATTGCTAAAATGAATATAAAATTTAATTTGTATAATTCAATAAATAAAATGAGCGTTTCAGATTTCACGAACACAGTCTGCAATAGTGTTAAACAGCCGGGCAAGCGCATTGATTCAAAATTAATTTGAAGATTTCACATCAACAATGAGAAAATGAATACAAATAAATTTCTAGGATTGATATTGGCTTATCTAAAGCCAATATCAAGACAATATATTCTCTCTTTTTTACAAGATTGTAATAAATTCTTCTTGGACGGCATCGAGCTTTGAGACTGCACTGATTTTTTTTGAAAATTCTAAAAAGTTTCAAAGTTTCGGGTTTTTTGAAATATTTTGGAAAAGTATATCTTCACACCGTCAACGCAAGCAAGATGTTTCTCAAATCATTCTGATATAATGATTCTCTCAAAAACTGCATATAATAACCATTACACCCTCTGCGCTCCGTGTCTCCGAAACGGTTTGACGTGCTTTTCGCAAAAACTAACCAGTACGCCCCGCGGTCAGTGCGAATAGTGTGTTTCGAATAATTCAAATCGGTTATTCCATACTGACAAAATTGTCAAAAACATTTGTTTAGACCATATAAGTGTTTTTTAAAATCTTGGTGCGGAACCAAAAAAAGGAAAAACTAGTGGGGTGGGTGGCATCGTGCCTTAAGGCAAATTGCTAAAACTTCCCGTACCGTAACGAAATGTTCGAGGAATACTGAATGTTTTCAAATAGATTATTAGAAATATTGTAACACTGTCTAATATTTATAAGAATTATATCAACTGAATTGCAGAGTTGAAATTATTTGTTTAAAGTATATTAGAACTTTAGTCAGAATTAAAAATAAAATCTGAATTATTTTCGATATACAAAAAATTAAAAAAAAAAAAAAAAAAATTGAACAAAAATTTTTTTTCCAAAATCAATTATTTTGTTAAGACAAGCAGAAAGTTCTTTGAATCAATTGAATCGGACGCTTAGTTCTCTCAAAAACTGCCATTTTTTGTACATTTAGCTCTGTATCTCCGAAATAGCTGGGCCTGCCTTTGCGAAAAACTAATAACCCCTTCTTCCAATCATTACTAATTGAATGTTTTTTAGATCATTCAAATCGGATGCTCCGTTCTCTCAAAAACTCGATTTCTATTTTCTGACTCTTTGCTCCCTATCTCCGTAACGGCTGGACCTGCCTTTACCAAAAACTAATCAGCTCTTTTCCCTATCAATAGGAATCAAATGTTTTTTAAACCATTCAAATCGGTTGATCCGTACGCCCGAAAACGTGGGCGAAAATTTGTATCCATACATACATACACACACACACACACACACACACATCCATTTTTTCTGAGGTATGCCAAAACGTTCAGAAACCTTCAAAATGTCGAGAAATGTAAAAATTTTCAATTCCAATTTTTGGCCCATTACAATAACTTACCCTACGGGAAGTTAAAAATGTATTCGGTATTAAATTCTCTATAAAATATCTAGTAAATTTATGAGCATGCCCAATATTACGTATTCTGGTAAATGCTTCACATTACATTTTGAACCATTGTCCTTTATAAAGTCCTAAAAATTCCACTAGTAGCAGAATTTTTTGTTTTTGATTGGTTTGTAAGTCTACCCTTGGGTATTATGCTTTAGTAGCAGAATATGTCAAATTTAGATACTTCTCACATAACAGTATAATGTCATAAAATCCAATCATTTGACACCTTACTACTAAGTAAGTCTGAATCAGTCCGCAGCGCACATCACCTTTATAGTCCTTTCAGTCCGCCTTACTCAGGACCGACCCCTTTTATCAACAACAACTAAGTTAATAATTAAATTACAAAATCAATAAAAAATATAACAAAGCCTATTTTACATTTATTAGAATATATGTAAATAATTTTTTAACCAATTTTTTTTAAAATATAACAAAAAACGAAAATTTGATGGTTTTTAGCCGTTTGATGATTTATAGTTCATGATAAAGAGTTGATGTTACAAATTTGCGTTTCTCGAAAGTTCTAGAACTTCTAATTTTGAAAACATGGTCGCTGCACAATTAGATGGTTAAATCTACTGATATATGTGTATGGCGCTGTTGTATCCAGTAGACTAACTTAAAAAAAAAACGGCCGAATACTTTATAAAACGTAGGAGCTACGTATTTCGTACATCATACTCCGCTCATGAACATAGACAAAACCGAATTTATCGTAGACACAACGACAACTGAACAATAACAAGTCCTTCCCAATGATTCCGAATCACCCTGAAAACATTCTAAAAGCCCTCGATCGTTTTTATTCGCTACAAAGGTACATTTTTGAAGAAACGAAATTTTCGAAAAATGCCGGACTATCGGGCATTCCGGACGGGTGGGTGCCGAACTAACGGACTTCTACTGTATTATTATTAATGTATAAACTTCTATTGTTTTCATTCATTTTTATTGTTTTAATTCAAATTCTATTTATTGTATATTTTTATACTCTTTTACTCATCAATTTTGTATTATAAGACCGTTTCAGTTTTGATTGACGAACATAAATTATCACAATATAACATGAATGTTGTGCACGGCGATTTTCTATAAGTCTCAAGACTAAAACAATTTAAAAAAACTAAAAAAAACTGTGGATGCGCTATTTAGTTGTTACAAGCCAAACTGTGCTTTTATGTTACCTTTGTCTACCTCGTTCAAGTTTTCTGACGATGCTTCGATGCGCAAAATTCACACATCCATGTCTGCAAAAAAGTATTTAAATTAGTATATATATAAAATAATTAGCAGCCCATTCGTAGAATAAGCTAAATGAAAAACACTCTTTATTAATTAAACGTTTCTACACTCGCTGCGTGTCATCATTTAATAAATGCGAAATCCATTATTACAATGAATACAAAATCTATACACACACACACACACACACACACACATATATATATATATATATATATATATATATATATATATGTATATATAATCTAGAATAATATACAATCTAGTCATTGCAAGCGTCAGTCTAAGCTGAATCTAATTTTATTTAAGTTAAATTGGTACATTTGGATGTTTAAGCTTTTGAAACATTATTATAGCTCTTTTCAAAATTCATTAATTATTGAATTATGAAGCAAAACCTGAACATCCATTTTTGTAGTATGTTTTGGCATGCTTAGCCAAATAAATCGAGTGAGATTTCAAAGCTCTTTCAAAAAATTTACAGCTTTGCCATAGATTCGAAACCGTTGTATCTTGAAATTATAAAGTTTTTGCTCTTTCTGCAAGCCATTCATAAACTGTGTATTGTATGTACACACAGGGAAATATTTGTACAAAAGGATAATCTTGAAAATCAGTGATTATACGATAATTTCATACATCTCGTTTTATCGGTGGTAAAAATTGCGTCGCCAATATTTAAATTGTTTTGAAAATGTTGTAACAGTTGATAGAGAAAATATATTTAAGCTTTACTATAAGCTCTCAAAAACCTTGATCAAACTTAGCCTCAAAATTATTGTTCGGACGTCTTTTCGTTTTATTATATTGGCCATGAAGATGACAAACTTTAGGGCATTAAGCTTTACACGGAATGGTTGCTACCCCTGGTAGAGGGAGTAGCGGAGTGTTTTAATGGAACTAGTTGTACACTTCAAAAAGTAAAGTCTGCTTAACAACATGTAAATAACCAATAAAAATAAATATATCTTCTTCCATTATAACTTAGTAACAAATCAGTGATTGTAATTAGAACTGCAACAACGTATAAACAAATCAGTGTTTAATACGGTCCACAGCTACAAGGGTTAAATTATAACCCAACGACCTGAATTATCGAAAGAAAGTTTTAATAAATTCTATAACTACATAACATAAAGTACAATTGTAAAAAAGTGTTAGGGTTAAGCAACCCTGGATAAAAATAAATCGTAAAGCATAAAAGTAAAATTTAATATTTATAAACTCAAAAAAATCTGTCAAAAGCATTCATTGTCTGAACGCGCGAGATGAAAATTATTCGAGTTTCGGAAGAGTGTTGTCACTAACATCATAATAAAAGATTACTCATTAATAACAGAGAACTATCGACATAGGTTGAAAAGAAAAGCGCCACTGGATTTAAGTCATCAATTTTCCACATAAAGATTGAAATAACAATCATTATTTATAAGAAATCATTTATAAGTAGATAGTTAAGATTATATCATTATCAATAAAATATTGTTAATATTATAACGAATAGAAAAACAACTATTGAGTTGTTTTTCCAACATGCCCATTTAGTATACAAAGTCGCTTTGCGGCTGACAATTGTAAATTCCTCAAATTTATTAAATGTCCTTAATTGGACAGTTATAAGTAAAATAGAGAATAAAAAGAAACAACTTTAACGTATGGAACTTTACAAAAACAAGTTTATATAGTGATTAATTTGAAGGGAATACAAAAAATAATTCGTGCACTTTGAATACTTAACGCATAAAATATAATATTTATCCTATTCTAACATCCCAAAAATAAGATCTCTCTCACATAGAGTTCTACCTCTTTTTACCAGTCGCACCGTGGTCCGAGATGTTATTGATGGAATTGATGAGCACGTCGACAGCAGATCATATACGATAAACAATGCGCAAAAATAAATCAAGCTCTTTATGCAAGCAGGTAGATATATACAGTCCGACAGATAATTAATATGACCCTTTTATGAATCCTGTTTGCATTTATATTTTTAACTGATAAAAACAAATTATCAAGTACAAAAGATTTACTGTCGTAATGGGCTTCGATATCTCGAAAAATTAAATGTTAAATCTATACAGAACACACGAGCGAGCTCATATGCCCGAACACATATATATATATATATATATATATATATATAAATATATATATATATATATATATATATATCGACGTTGCAACATTTTCTCGAGACTATCAACCAAAATGAAAAACTATAAATACTTGTATTATTTATCCTGTACCTCTATATGTGTCATTTAGCAATTTGTACACTATATTATAGCGGAAAATTTTATATTATTACGAGCTATTGCAAATTCTGGAATCGCTAATAATAAAATATTTTTTTTAAATTTGCTTCACTTTTTAGTTTTTTTTAATTTTGATTTACAATAAAACACATTTCTACTGCGCCGAACAAAAATTTCTCATCTCAATTTAAAATGATGTGATATAACATACTGAAATTGAAGGTATATATGAATACTATAATAGAAAAAAATATAAACATATAAATACTATGAACGCAAAAATAAAATAATGATATTCAGTTTATGCTCATTGCACATTATAATTTTTCCTAAATTTCGATTTGAATTGCAATGTGTCTATTTTTGTGTGAAAACATTCAGTAACTAGTGGTGTATGACATCGTGCCTTAAGGCAAATTGCTGGAACTTCCCGCACCGTAACGAAATGATCGAGAAATATTAAATGTTTTCATATAGATTTTAATAAATATTGTAACATTGTCTAATATTTATAAGAATTATATAAAATAAATTGCAAAGTTGAAATTATTTGTTTAAAGTATATTAGAACTTTAGTCAGAATTAAAATAAAATCTGAATTATTTTCGATATACAAAAAAAAATTGGAAGACAAAATTGAAACAAAAAACTTTTTTTACAAAAGTAATTACTTTTATTGAAACGAGCAGCAATTTCTTTGAATCATTCAAATCGGACGCTTAGTTCTCTCAAAAACTGTCATTTTTTGCACATTTAGCTCTGTATCTTTGAAATGGCTGGATCTGCCTTTGCCAAAAACTAATCACCTCTTCTCCCAATCATTACAAACTGGATGTTTTTTAGATCGGATTCAAAATCGATCATTCAAATCGGATACTCCATCTCTCAAAAACTCTATTTGTATTTTCTGCACTCTTTGCTCTGTATCTCCGTAACGGCTAGACCTGCCTTTGCCAAAAACTAATCTGCACATCTGCCTATCAATAGGAATCGAATGTTATTTAAACCATTCAAATCGGTTGACCCGTGCGCCCGAAAACGTGGACGAAAAAATGCGGACATTCAAAACACACACACACATCTATTTTTTCTGATGTATGTATGATGTATTCAAAACGTCGAGAAATGCAAAAAAATTTATTTTCGATTTTGGCCCATTACTATTAAATTATTACTACCCTACGGGAAGTTAATAATTTAACGATGACGTTTCAAAGGCAGCCCAATTTTCTTTTCAAGTTTCCCCCGAACGGCAGTTTCCACTTGATATTACGCATTATATCTATAATTTCCAGTGAAATTATGACATTAATACTGCATGATATCAAGCCGACCGAAGTTGCTTATCTAAGTTCTCTACGAAACCACGACCGACTATTATATCATAAATTAAAAAAAATATTTTAATTTAACGGGTTGAAGATTTTGATTTTTATCCATACTTATTTATTAACTACAATAAAATATTTTACATTGCATGACTATTTTGAAACATGCATTTTTTATATATTTAATATTTTTTCAATCTGTATATTTTTATCATAATTTTCATTATCACATTCTGTCGCACATTAAAATTTATACATTGGAGTTCCATAAAGCGCATATTTACTTCCAACTTTTAATTAAAACGAGACTGAAGTGCATATGCAGAACTTGTTTTGAATAATACATGTCTCGCTTAATATTTGAAAAGCACTAATAATTCAAATAATATATACGTTGTTTAATGCATTTACAAACAAAACATTACAGGAATAATAGTGTCGTGTTCATTTACATGCGTATGGGAATCGATACATACAGAAGTCAGATTATTTTATTTTTAAAGCAATGAGCAAATATCCCCATGAAGACAGCATAAGTGCAAAAAATATAAGTAAAATAAGATTGTATGTATATATATACATATTATATTTATGATGTGTGCAAACTGAATTCCAATGATACAGCATAAGATCAATATTGATTTTGAAATTCTTAAGTTAATTAAATGCCCAAATATTTTAGATGAAGTTTGAGCTTCCTTTAGTTCAGTATTCAATTATTCAAATAAAAGAAAATAGTGGTGCATATCATCGTGCCTTAAGGCAAATTGCTGGAATTTTCCGTACCGTAATGAAAAATTCGAGAAATATTAAATGTTTTCAAATATATTATTATAAATAAACTGTAATCTAACATTGTTTAATATTTATAAGAATTATATAAACTGAATTGCAAAGTTAAAATTATTTATTTAATGTATATAAGTGAGCTTTAGAACTTTAGCATGAATTAAAATTAAAATCTGAATTATTTTCAATATGCAAAGAAAATATTTTTTGAAAAAAAATTAAGAATTTTTTTTACAAAAGCAATTGTTTCGTCAACACAAGCAAAATTCAAAAGTTTTTTGAATCATTCAAATCGGATGCTTAGTTCTCTCAAAAACTGCCATTTTCGTACATTTAACTTCGTATCTTTGAAACGGCTGGACCTGCCTTTGCCGAAAACTAATCACCACTTCTCCCCATCATTAAGAACTGAATGTTTTTTAGATCATTCAAATCGGATGCTCCTTTGTCTCGAAATCTCCATTTCTATTTTCGGCACTCTTTGCTCTGTATCTCCGTAACGGCTGGACCTGCCTTTGCCAAAAACTAATCAGCACATCTCCCTATCAATAGAAATCGAACGTTTTTTGAACCATTCAAAACGGTTAATCCGTGCACTCGAAAACGTAAACAAAAAATGCGTCATACAAA